CGCTGTCACAGGCAGATCCCGCCGAATACATTTACCTGGTGTCTCAGGACCTTTCCGGTTTCTTCACATCCATCCCCACGCAGCGTTTCCATCAGGCACTACAGGTGCTTCTACATCGCTATGATCAAGTAATTGGTCTCCGCCGATCTTCCCAATGGTCGGTGTACGAATTGAAGTCAGATCATCGACGCCGCATGTTCAAAAAAATGGCGCCGTCAAACTAAGGTTCCTCGAACCTTCCGTGAACAAGATCTTCGATGCCTCCTTGACTTTGTCATTGACAACAGCCACTTCGAGATCAATGGCTATTTGTTCCGGCAAGAACGTGGAGTCGCTATATGGGATCACCTGCGGCACCCCCACTCTGCAATCTGGTTGCCACGGTTGAGGACTTCTTCTGGCACCAAACAATGCGCTCTCTACGATTTCGCATGCCCGATGTCGGGGTGATCTGGCACGAGCGCTATGTCGACAATCGCTTCATCCTGCTACGTGATTCTGCCCCGCAATCACCGGCGCTCATGAATTTTCTTTCCCTGGAGTTTTATCGACCACCTGTGATGCTTGAGTTTCAGAATGATGACAAAGTGCTGGGCTACCTATGTGATTCATCGTCCAGGACTATTACGCCGCAACTACCAGATCATCCTTCTCAGATCAAAGGGATCCGGAGTGCCAATGATCAGATGTGTACTTACTCTTCGTGGTCATCCCGCTCGTGGCTCATTGTACGTGGTGCTCAACCTGCGGTTCAGCAACAACTTGGACTTGACGCTCTCAAACGCCTTTATGAAGCCAAAGGTTTCGATCCGCATCTCCTTCGTGATGTTCGGCGACGACTCGTGACAAAATCTGCACGCTGCCTTGTTGCTGTTTTGCTTGTGGTGTTTCCTTGCGATTGCTTGTCGGTGCGTTTTGATGTGTCCTTCATGTATCTGCGTGCAGTCGGCTCGGATGTGTTGGCCTCTTGCATGGCGGCGCCCCTTACCTGAACATGGCGGAGTATGTTGTTAGCAGCCTACTACGCCCAGACGGCACGGTCCAGACCACAAGCCAAGCGACGTTGGATCACCTTCCAAACTTCATCAATGGCAATGAGATGCAGCTCTTTGTCCAGACGCACGGCCTTGTACATCAGCACAATGTGCAGGCGCACAGCTCTTCACGTGATGTTCAAGCACTTAGCTCATCGACCAACGTCAGAGCGGTGCGCAATCATGCAATCAGGAGGCGTTCGCGCTCTCCTGTATCCCGTCGCTCCCGGGTCAAGCTCACACCGGGACCACAAGGGATGTACCTGACCTACCAGAAAACTCGTTTCGGGAGTGGAAGCGGGTAACTGATCCAATTGATGGGACTGGTGAGCCCAGTCAGGCATGGACAATTCGCGACTGGCAACATCAAGGTTACCGACGCATTCTTTCTCGCTTTGAGTCCTTCTCCACTCATCAAGCTCAGGATCAATCACTTGTTGACGTGCAGAATTCGGACATCATCCGGGTCGAGGAGATGTTCACCTATGCCCCCCCTATTTCTGACGGTGATCGCCCGACTGATTTGCATCTTCATCCGGTCTTCTATGGCGGCACCCGTCACGCTCATCGTGGAGATCTTTCGCTCCCGTCTTCTGAGCGGCTTCGTGCAGTTTCGCGCTCTCCTCGCCGCTGCGGATATTTTGGCAAACGATAGAGTTAAGGAGTTGAGCATGTGATCCTCCTGCAGAAAAAGAGACTTCTCGCCCCTCACTGAGGGGCGTGTGTGTGCGGAGTGGCAGAATACCCTGTCACCACAATCAAAAGCAGGGGGCAGGAGCACCATGGCAAGTCTCCTGCCAACGAAGACACTTGCCATCGGTGGTGATACTGGGACTGATCATCCCAGCGTACCTGCGCAACTCGTGTGATGCAAAGTCCTGTTGGCCCGTTGTTTCTCTCGCTGTGTGTGCTTCATGTTATACCCTGTAACGTGTTCGACACTAGAGGGAAGCCGAGTGCCCTGCGAGCCGAAACTTACGCATGAAGAACCTTATCCAAGCCGAGACTTACCAGTTGTACTCGAAAGATTAGCACCCTCCATCTGGAGTTTAAGTGTGTGTGTGTGTGTGTGCTTGTGTGTCTCTTTGGTGTTCTGTGTGATGTGTAATTAAGTTGTGTGTCGGCGTTGCCTTTATATTTGCGATTGTCGTGTTTGTCTTTCTCCGACAACACTCAACAACATGCTTTTCTTGACTCCAAAGCTGCACAACCCTGGGCTCCTCTCGCCTCGTCCACTGTCTGGCCATCTGGCAGGACGTCTGCCACCACGGAAGCCCCATCGCCTCACGGAGGAGTCGTGTCGGGTTTGGCGCCTTGGCAGTTGACCCCTGGAGCAATGTTGGCATCTCTGTCACGTTTCCCGAATCCCGATTCGGAGCAGCCCAAGTCTTGCAAACGGATATTCGGGACTTTGCATCACTGGCCTGAGAGCAGATGTCTCAGCTCCTCCATATTGATGTAGCCGTCTCCATCCAAGTCAAATGTGGAGAACCTGGCTTGAGATATCATTCTGAGCTTGAAGCACTCTTTGGCCAACACTCTCCATTCCTGTGGCAAGTTGCAAGTCCTGGAGAGCGGTAAGTTCCTTTCCCAGAATGGTTGATACACCTTGTAGTTCGAGCACGGGACAAGACCGTTAAATAAATGCCCCACATCGAGGCCACAGCCCTGGAACCAGAGGCCAGGCCAAAGAAAAATGGCAAGCCAGAATCGTTAAGCTCAACCAACACCTAATCTGCCAAGTGATCTCAGTTGTCGAGCAACTCCATAGAATGGTTCTTCCAAATCCAACAACTTTGTGCTGTCTTGCAAGGGAAACGAATCCCATGACTGGATTGCTAGGTCATCAAACCCCAATGAATCTTTGAGTATCCAACAAGACTCCTTGACCTTCACGCTGTCACTTGCAATGAACTCAACGTCTCCTGAACCCAGGGCACAACAACGCAGGAGTATGGAGGCTATCATGCTTGCTGGAAGTGACAAGTGCTTGACAGTAGCTCATGTTGCGACACGACTGAGGCTTTTCCGTTTCCTAATATAAAAACCGTGATTGTGAATTGCCTCACTTGCTTCCAAGCCGTCCTACGGATCCTACGGCATGATATTCTGGCAATCGTTGAGTCCAAGCCAAAAAGCATGGCTAGTTGCTGTACTCTTGGCAACGCTGGGCACAATCACGTGTGCATGGTGCAACCCACAGCATCTCGGCACAAGCACGCCGGCGGTGCGCGTATCGCATCAAGCGGTCGCCACGCTCCTGGCAAACTGAAGCAAGAAGAATGACGCCAAAGCCATGATCTCAGCCGTGGGGACAATCGACTTTCCTGTGCGCGCGCGTGCGTGCGTGCGTGCGTGCGTGCGTGCGTGCGTGCGTGCGTGCGTGCGTGCGTGCGTGCGTGCGTGCGTGCGTGGGTGGGTGGGTGGGTGGGTGGGTGGGTGGGTGGGTGGGTGGGTGGGTGGGTGGGTGTGTGTGTGTGTGGGTGCGTGCGTGCGTGCGTGCGTGCGTGCGTGCGTGCGTGCGTGCGTGCGTGCGTGCGTGCGTGGGTGTGTGTGTGTGTGTGTTGCCATCCTTCACGGCCACAGAAGATGCCAGATTCGGGGCAAACCCACCGCGATGTCCCATCTTGCCCAGCAACATCCCCGTGCAGTGCACACTGCCAGTGACTTCCATCTGCTTTGCCGAAACCCTCATGGCCAGCCAATACACGGGTCAAACATTGGCACGAGCCGAGTCATCAACAACCCTGCGCCTCATCCAAGGTCAATGTGGCTGCGAGGAACTCTGTGTAGGAGATCTGTCCATCCTGGTCCAAACTTCGCTGCTTGAGTTGGAGATCTCAACTTGCTGAAACAACATGTTGTTAACATGCTGTTAACAGGGATGCTGGCAAAGCCCTTCCACCGACAAATGCCCCTTTCACACAAAGCCCAAAAGGCAACATATGTTTCATCAAGGATCATGTTCTGTCAGGTCTAACCTGCATGCCCGTCTCCGCCCAAACAAGACGAAGACGAGCAGCGAGAGACCAGCTTTGAATGTCAAATACTATGTCCTCTCGTGATCGATCACAACCAAACACAAAAACATGCAATGAAATTCCCTGTCATTATGAGCTCCCAGTTGCGCGCGTCGTCGCTATTGTTGCTGCTGGTGGCCGTCGTCGTCAGGACATCGGGGCTAACAGGGATCAGTTCTAGCTGCTGACTTGTACTGGTTCATCACCAATCCTTTTTGGGACAGCTACAAATCCCCAGTGATGTGGCAACGGAAAACCTGAAACTCAATCTAGTCATCAAATGGAATCAAGTGAGACAATCATCAGAGATGTCTCCCCGTTGTCTTCGGACAGGTCGCTAACAGGCTGTCAAGTGTTGGCCACCATCAGGCTTCAGCGGTGCAAGCCCGAGCGGTTGAAGCAAGGCAACTGCAATCCTGATTAGCAATATTATAGGAATCTAATATCCGTGGCAGTGACAAACTGACAGCACCTTCAAACAAGGAAGTCCGATCCAAATGGCAACACCCCAGGCTGACTGCAACCGCCGAGTCTGTAAATCAAACAAGCTTGCTAGCCACGGTGTATGCTCGGAAACGAAATCAAAGTGCAGAACGAAGGGCATCCGCATGTGGGTGTCTTTTCTAAGGCTATACCCTTTTTGTGGCTGACCAGTTTCAGAGGAAAAAACCGAAGCTTCTTTTCTTCCGGGGGAGGGGGAAGGGGGCGTCCCCACAAAAGCAGGGATTGCGCCGGAATCACCCTAGCTGATGTCCCGAAGCTGGCGATTCTTGTTTATTTGGGACTACTTTGGGTAGCAGGACAATTAAAATGAAGCAAACAATGGATTTTTTGGGTAAGTGTAATCCCAGGGTGAAGGAAAACCCTTCGAGTGGTTGGGCTTCCATTTAACCAAGAGTTCAACCTTTTAGGCGATCAAGCTAGCCCTATTTTCATCCCAGGGTTTTTATTCGGAGAAAAACAGAAAAGACTCGTTTCGAATCAAGCGCAACGAGTCCGGCTCCTGATCCAAATCCATGGCCGCCATGATCCAGCTGGGGTCCTGGCGAACCCCGCGCGCAACCGCGCAACCGCGTCGTTTCGCATTTCGCCGGATCTCAGTCTGAGAAGTCTGACGTCGCTTCCTCGGACCCTGCCCATTTGTACGGCGGCTGAAGCCCTAAATATTGCAAGTGCGGAGCAGAAAACCAAAGGGCACGGTCCACTAAGGGAAGCACTGTGACATGATATCTGTGGCCCCCCTTCCCCTGATACAATGTTGAACTTGCAATATATTGGGCCTCGGAAGACGGGTTACGCACTTGGCCAACAGTATAACTGGGGGAGAGGAGTCCGCACGCAGCGGGCGATGCCACAGAAATGGTGTCAACATGTGCCTTGGTGGCACTTGCAACATTTTGGGCTTCCACTGTCTGGGGTGAGCAGGCACAGGTGTGAACCCCAAAGCAGCCTCGACATGTGAAACTTGTGAAACTTGGCCAGAGCTCGTCCTGAAACTCGTGGGTATTTGCGTGAAACTCGTGAAGCTCGTGAAACTTGGAAGAAACAAAAGTGATTATTTTCTTCCAAGTTTCACGAGTTTCACGAGTTTCACGCAAATACCAACGAGTTTCAGGACGAGCTCTGGCCAAGTTTCACAAGTTTCGCATGTCTGCGCGAAGGCAGGCGTCTCCAAACCCTTGCAGGTTGTACATGTGTGTGGGCTGAGGTCCAAGGCAAGTCTCTCCAAAGTCTTCGCGCGCAGACAAAGAGACGGTGCGGAGCGACGGGCGCGGACCAAAAACCGATGGACAGTCTACGCGTGACGGTCTGGGGTGAGCAGGCACAGGTGTGAACCCCAAGCAGCCTCGACATGTGAAACTTGTGAAACTTGGCCAGAGCTCGTCCTGAAACTCGTTGGTATTTGCGTGAAACTTGTGAAACTCGTGAAACTTGGAAGAAAAATAGGTAAGGGATTATTTTTCTTCCGAGTTTCACGAGTTTCACGCAAATACCAACGAGTTTCAGGACGAGCTCTGGCCAAGTTTCACAAGTTTCGCATGTCTGCGCGAAGGCAGGCGTCTCCAAACCCTTGCAGCTTGTACATGTGTGTGGGCTGAGGTCCAAGGCAAGTCTCTCCAAAGTCTTCGCGCGCAGACAAAGAGGGTTGAAAAAAAGGAAGAGTTAAATAAACAAGTGGAGGGTGAAAAAAAGGGAGCCCGGCTGGCAACAGCACTCTCCCCCACCACAACAAAAATAATTGAAGTGTGCACAGGTCACAACGCATGTTGGCTGTCCGGGGTCAAAAAATGCATTGAAATGTGGAAATCTGCGCTAGCCAAGCTGTGGGAAAAGCGCCTTACCAATCATGTTCCGTCAGCCACAAGCCGATTCTTTCTGTTGAGACATTTGAGAGTCCCTGTGCCTTTCCCGTATGGTCGAGTTCATTGATTTGCTGACCTGTGACAATTTCTTGAACGTCCTATCGCCCACACTTCTGGCTGATTCCCTGAGATCTAGATAAGCAAAGCTTTGTGTGAAGAGTTGTTGTGGGTCCGGTCATGTTGCATCCTGCCCGGGCTACACTCAATTCACGCCCGCTGTTCGTTTCGCCCGCCTGTCGGACGCCCAACTTGGCCAAGCCAAGCTTGAGCTCTTCTTGATCCAGCTGCCCCGACTTGTCCGCATCCAAGGCTTTGAAGAGGCGGTAGTCCTCTCGAGCTCAACCCTCGCAGCTTCACTCGAAACATACCCCGGCGGACCTGACTCGGGCTTTTTCAGCCTCGGACGTGCGAAGGCTCTGGATTTGTCTAGGCATTGCGGCGAGGGACATTTGCAACTCATTCACCATCATTTCTGAGGGTGCCTCTTTGTGGTTTCAAGAGGAAATGAAACAAAAACCGTTGCGCCATGTTGGGGACGAGAGCCACCCAAAAAAAAAAAAACGCTGCAGGTCTGCATGCATGGGAAGCGCTCGGAAGTCCTCCTTGAGATCCTTCATGCCCATGGCAGATGCCATGCAAAAGGTCACCTCTCCGCACAGGAAAATGTGCCGCACGGACGCAACGGACGGATCCACGCAGGGATTTCCCCATGGCTGAGAGAACCCTCAAACTTGGCAACACAGGATCCTGCGCTGATCAGCCAATAGTATCAGGTTGATCCAAACACACAAAAAAGGATCAACCCGTGTGGCTGTCACATAACAGCCAAAGAAGAAACAAAAAAAATGATCTAAAAACCCCCTCACCCGCGCCGCACCCCGTCTTTCGAGGGGGAAAAAAAAAAAGACAAAAAAAACGCCCCCGCCCCCCCGAGCTCGGCTCGCCCCGGGGAGCCGCCCCCCGAGCTCGGCGCGGCGAGCGCGGGCGCGCGGCGGCTCGGCTCCGAGCCCCGGGCGGCCCGGTGGAAGTAGCTCACCTGCTGGCCCAAGGAGTTGGGCACCACCAGGGAGGTGTCGAACTCCTGCACCTCGGGGGGGGAGGGGGGGGGACTCACCGACGGCCTCGGCTCCTCTTTTTTCCTTTTTTCTTTTTTTTTTGGGGGGGGACCTGTTTTCCTTGTTTTTTTTTTTTGGGGGGGGGGGACCAGTAAAGTGGCTTTTTGTTGGCCGCCCAAAGTTGCGGCTTCCCACCAAAGGGGGCCCGAAAACCCGGCGCCCTCAAAAAGAGATGGACGGGCCGCCCAGCATCCTTCGCCAGGGCGCCTTGAACCACTCGTGCGCGAAGCACTGCCGGGCAGACCACCGGCTTGCGGGGTTCTTCTCCATGAGCGCACGGACCAGGGACTGCGGGACCTCCGGGATCTGGTCGAAGCCCGGCTCAGTATTCGCCACCTCGGGCACTTAGGCGACGCCAACAAAAAAGACATCGCCGAACATACGCCGCGGACCTTCAAGCAAGGAAACGCGAATCCATTCGCGCGTGGAACTGAAATACTGATTTGTGTCACCAGGTGGGCGAGGTTCTTTTCGCAAAGGAGACCCTGCATGGGCGCTGCCTCCCCCCCGCCTGGCAGTAAAGGACAAAAATGTTGTTGGTGCCCCTGAATGGCCTCAGCTCGGACGCTCGCTGGCAGGAGCGCAGGAAGCTCGGCGTAGGGATGAAAACCGCTTCAAGCAGCATATTGTCAGCATTGGTTGGAATAATGCTTCGTCTAGACCTCTATATGGCCGTGGGTCAAAACCAATGGGATCCCATTTTGGTTGGTAGGTGAATTCACCACCCATTTTAGAACCTATTTTGGTGGTTGGACTGGTTGATGTTCGTTGAGGGTACGGGCTTTGGATTTTGACTCCCATGGCCATGTGCCACGGGCATTCAAAAAACGGCTCACCAGAGGCAAAGGAAGGGAAGAAGTTCAACTGATTTTGGCTCACTTGCCTTGACCACAGCTTTGTTGACTGACAGGAGACTTTGGCTTCCAAAATCGCTCCCTGTCCACTGCAAGCTCACTTTGGTCGGAACACCCGGGTGTGTCTTTTTGGACCCCCCAAAATGGTGGTCTTCCTTCTGGTTTCTGTTTGAAACCGCCAAAACGGGGGGGGTACCCTCAAAAAGGGCACATCCACCTGCAACGGAGTCAATGGAGTCATAGGCGCATGGATGCATTTGACCCCCGCCCCCCCTCAAAAAAAAAAGAAGACTCCCTGCCTTGTGCCCACGAGCATCTCATAGAGCATGACGCCCAAGGCCCAGGTATCACTCTTCTGTGTCAGCTTCCCGTCAAACCCTGAAGCTCGACTTCGATTCGCACTTCGATTCGCACCGACTCGGATTAAAAAAAAAAACGCGCAAAAACCAAGTCCGCAATCCCAGCAAGTCAAAGATGATGCTTCTTGGGGGACATGGACCATCTGCAAGCACAAGGTCATTTTTGGAGCGCAGGCAAGGAGAAAACTTCAAAGGGTCCTCGGTTGACAGGCCCAGTGGAGCCGAAACCCCTCGAGATGTTTGGTTCTGCCACGCTGCTTTCGGGCGCTGAGTATCTTTGAAATTCTCAACTTCCCTTCCCCCCGAGAGTTTCACAGGAAACTACAAAGACCAAACGCGGACTCACCCTCGAAAGAGGGGCCCCGAACATTTTGACGCATATAAATGTGCGTCCGCGATTTGTCCCGCCTTCGGGTGAGAGGTAGGCTGGGCTTCCCTTGACCGTTGCGGGGCCCCCAACGGCCGCGGTCTCGTCAAAAATCTCTGCCAACCCAAAGTCGACCAGCAGGGCATGCGGCTTGGACGCGCCAGCCAACGCATCGCCCAGGATAAAGGGCGTCAGGAGCATGGTGTTTCCTGGAATGGAAAGCCATGCGTTGCAACTTTGAGGCGGAAATTGATATTGCATCCTTACCCATTTGCATGGTCCTAAATTTTGCTCGCAAGTCTCTCCCTTTGCTCACCTGCTTCAGCAACATATCAGCATTCTTAGGGACCCTTTTGGTGGACATCATGTCGGTGGCTATGTCCAATTTCTTCGGGTTCCGAGTGAAGTTCCTAGCATCCAGTTCACTGAGCGCTCAAAGCTTAACCTGTGAATCAAATGGCTGTGGCTCACAAAACCGGAACCAAAATGCAACCTAAGTGGAAACATGGACCAAAACCTGCGTAACCCCTCCTGTCTAATTTTGAGCCACACCCAAATGGAAACTACCACTAAACCCCAAAAGCCGAAAAAGCTCAGGAACCGGACGGCCGATGGCCAACATAAGGTTCCAGCTCTCGAAAAACACCAAGCTTCCAGGCTTCAGGTCGCAGTGTATCACCCCCCGGGAGTGCATGTAGTCCAGGGCGGACACCACTTGCAGGGAGAGCTCTTGCACCCAGCTCTGCGGCAGCATGGCCTCCGAGTCCAGACACTCCCGGATCGCCGTGGCCAGGTCGCCCCCCTCCGCGTAGTCCATGACGATGTGCAGGGATTCGCCGCTTTCAAAGGCCTCAGAAGGGGCCGAAACTCGCAGGGGTTGACTGAACGTAAGAGGCGCGGTCTCGAGTCTCAACCAGCACAGCAAACATGCCAACTGACACTGTGGATGGACGAAATCCATTTCGCACCACCTGAGAAACCATGGAATGATATGATTCCCTTGTAAATACCAACAAAAAATGTTGTCCAACCATGGTTTTAATTTGGTACGCGAAATGGCAGTATTACTCCGTGAATTTCTCTCGAAGCGCCGTGAAGGCATGAAGAACCGAGGTCAACAAGCCGCATGCTCCATGCCCAATGGGACGCAGCAAGAAGATGCAGTAAGAACGCCAACACAAATCAAAGCATGACAAGAAGCGCCGGCACACTGAACCGCGCGCTGCACGAGGTCATAAGGAATTGAAACCCAGAGAAACAGACATACCCCACTCCTGCCCGATGGCTCTGCATTCCTCTCGCCTCAAACACGCGGACGATGTGAGGATGATCCAGCGATTTCAGCATGTTGACCTGGCATGGCAAGACAAAAACACGTCCAGGTAGATGGAAGCAGAAGTCCCAACGATACAAGCCCAAATTGAACTTGGCGAGGCTTCAGCGATGCACCCGGGTGGCTTCTCAGAGGAAACGAACCAAACTCAAGCCACGGGGAAAGAATAAAGACCGAAGGAAAGGCGAGATATGATGGTTCATGGTGGGAAGCCAATAACTGCATGCAGCACTGTCGCAATTTCACAGGCTAAGAAAGCTTGTTCAAGCAACGTGCGAACCTCGTCCTCCACTTGTCCATCAGCGACACTGAGCTGGCTCTTAGGAACCTCGGCGAGTCCAATTCACATGAGAGGCCCCCGAAAAGACACACACTCGCAGCATTCCTGACCTCTGTAGAGTTGACTTTGCTCATGTCATCACAGAAAGTCAGAAAGTCTCTCCGCATCTCTCTGTGCTTTGGTGCAAATGTAGAGCTCCTCCGCTTCCAATGCAACCCTCAACTAGTGCCTGTGTTTGACGACGGCTCATGCACAGCTAACTCAACGATGATGATGATGATGATGATGATGATGATGATGATGATGATGATGATGATGATGATGATGAGGATGATGAGGATGATGATGGTGGTGGTGATGATGATGAGGAGGATGAGGATGAGGATGAGGAGGATGACAAACCATGATGATGGTGATTCATCGATGCCCCTGCATCGCAGCTCGTCATCTCAGTGCCGTGCGGATTTCACAACTCGCGCGACGCCTCAAGCAATGGACAGTCCGCACTGCAGCTCGCTCGTGGCTGGGAATCAAACTGTCAGCGCCTTCCTCCAAGTGCTGAGAACCGCTGAGGGCGCCTATCTGTAAGAACCGTAGGTAGGCAATGGCCGATTTTTTTTCCGGTCGTCGCCTTGGGCTCTGCACAAGCTGCCTCTTGTCACAGTGTCCGTTCCAGCTGCAAGGGCCAGTCTCAAAACCCATTTTCTAGCCGTAGAAACCAGTAGATCTTTGTGCGGAGGCCCTTCGAAATGGGTGGGAAGCGCTTCCCCGCTGGCTTCCCCAAAAAAAATTATCCAGCGAGGAAAGGGGGTGGCCAACTCAAAAAAGACGAGCCGAAAGGTCGCACTGACGAGCCGGGGAAAAAAGAAATGGCGAAAAAAAGGCGTAAAAGGCCGCCTAGTGAGGCGTGCAGCGCTAAGTACACCTCGCCGTAGGAGCCCTGGGCGTGGCGTCAGAGATCTTTCCGCGTGCGAGGAACATAGCGAGATGCTCATCTGCGGTGTGGTTGTCAAGTTGTCAAGCCATTTTGGGGGGTCCAACTTTTGGAAACCCAAACGGTGTGGTTGCAAAAATTGCAAAAGTAGTTGGTAACCCCAAAATGGTTTGGCCAATGGCAAGAACTAAAACCGGTCTGGTGGCGACCACCTGTGCCCCAGAATTGTCACAACTCAGGAATTCGTGCAGGCGATTGCTCCAAAAGATTCTTAGTGGCAAACAAACCTGCCGGACCCCGGCCGCATTCATCCAGAAAAATCCAGAGTCAATGGGAAACTCATCTTGTGACGAGCCTCAGCGTGTTGCTCATCAAAGTGGGTCTGTCTTTTTTGCCACGGGCCCCCCCTTTTCGCGTCCCTTCAAACCCAAAGCGGGCACCACCTCCCACAGCGGCCGGAAGTTCGGGTTCGCCGGCCCCGCCTCTCCGAGCTTGGCACCCTTCAGGTAGACCTCAGGGCCGGCGGCCGGCGGTCCGCATTCAACTCCCCCTCCCAGTCGGCGAAGTCTTGGTGGGTTGAACCGAACCAACCAAAAAGCTGCTGAAGCTAAGGAACCGCATGAGCTGCGAAGCTGAGGAACCGCATGGCTGGGAGCCACCAAGGAATTTTGGTATGAAAATTCGGGTGTCCAAACGGTGTCCAAACGGAACGTGAAACGCGGGAGGAGGATTTGAGGTCAAAGCTTGGGGCCTCGACACCAGGACATTTCCGCGAAAACACATGTCTGGAGTGCGGTGCAGGGTCTCCTCCGTAGGCCAACGACGCGGGGGGAAATATCCAATTTCAGCGCCTCGTAGCTGGATTCCCCGACTTCAGAAATTGAGGTTAGAATTGTCAACCCAACGGCCCAACAGCCCAACAGCCCAACAAATCAACAGCCCAACAGCCCAACAGCCTAACAGCCCAACAGCCCAGCAGCCGTGGAGCAGCAGGTGGTTTGTGGCCTCCAGCCCTGGACCCTTCATTTGCCTTCATGAGGCTGCTGCAAAGCTTTGTGTGAGTGTCTGAGTGTAGCGAGGATGCCGTTGGGGAGGACCCATACACTTCCCATCCAGGTCAAATGTCCTCTTCCAAAAGAGTCACCCACCTTCTAGCTTGGATAACCCCCAGCTGTCAAAGTACTTCTCAATTGAGCCAAAGCCGGTGGTTTCCGCGCTCCCTCGGATTCCATGTCAGCATATGGGTATGTCTCACAATGGGATACGTAATCCCCAAAATGGCGTTTCGGTTGCCGTTTGGTTTCCGTTGAAAACCAACCAAAAGGGGTGCCCAAAACCCAAAAACAAAACAACAACAAAAAAGGCCACCCACATGAGGGTTTCTCAAAATTCAGGGACACCATCCAGGTGGTGTGCTTTTGGTTTCCCCTTGAAACCATCCAAAAAGGGGTCCGAGTCCTGTCTTCTCCACAAAAACGCCGCCCGCCGCCCGCCGCCCGCGTTGCGACCGCCCGCCTTGTTCCAGTCATCTCCGTAGCGGGTGTGCACCAGGCACTGGCGGGAGACCTGCGTTCGAAAGCGTTCGTGCGATGTGCTCCTCTCTCGTCCATCCTGTAAAAACGGCGGGGAGGAAGCAGGCAAGCAAGCAAGGGAGGGGGAGGGGAGGGGAGGGGGAGGGGGAGGGGGAGGGGGAGAGGGAGAGAGAGAGAGAGAGAGAGAGAGAGAGAGAGAGAGGGAGAGGGAGAGGGAGAGGGAGAGAGGGAGAGAGAGAGAGTGAGAGAGAGAGAGAGAGCAAGAAAGAGAGAGAGAGAGAGAGAGAGAGAGAGAGAGAGAGAGAGAGGGGGAGAGGGGGAGAGGGGGAGAGGGAGAGAGGGAGAGGGAGAGAGAGAGCGAGAGAGAGAGAGACAGAGGGAGAGGGAGAGGGAGAGGGAGAGGGAGAGGGAGGCGGGTGTAAGACATCAGGTGCTCAATTCGTTATGACGCTTCATGGCGGAGACTGTGATTTAGCATCCAGCTGCAGTCACGCGCTTGTTTTCGCCCAGGCTGCAACTTCAGCGGGCAAGGAGGCTGAATCAAAAGATTTCAGGGCGCAAAAAAAGCCTTGTTTCATGGGCTGCTCGCCCACTCATGCCCACTAGGTCCTGCTGTCGTGTGTGGCGTTGGGGATTCTCTAGGAGAGTCGCTGAGTCGCCAGCGTGGGACTAGCTGAATAGAGTTGCTGGCCTTGCTTGGATAGGGGGATTAGGATGCCACTTTGTGCGACAGCATTCTTGGTGCGACCCATGCACACTGTGAAACGCATCTCTGGTGAAACAATGCGACTACAGGCTTCGTTCCCCTTTTGAGGAATTGCCTCGCAGAACCTCTCAGGCTTCCTGGGGAATATCACTCTACCAGGCTTCTCGAACAGTATGAAATGGTAAAGAAACAGCTTGAAAGCTGAAACAGGGATCCTTACATTATACACCTGAACATTGCAACTTGTAAATGGTGGGTTCCAACTTTATCTTGGTGTTGAAAAAGCAACAAGTTTCAAATGGGCAAGCAAAATGGAAATTTCTTTTAAGGAGCCCTGTGAAACCAAGCAGATGCTTCAGGGATTGTGAGTGAACACTCCCCACCCCCTGCACCCCAAGTCTGTGAACCTCATAGGGCACAGTTCAACTCTCCTTGGCTCTGGCAAAATCTGCGTGCAAACTGCCTGGCTGCCCTCCGACAAAAATAGGTCTGCTGTTCAGCGCTGGATCATGGTGTAGCAAGCTATCCTACTTCCTTCCGAAACAAGAGTGGGCGGCAGTGACTTTGACACAACTGTACCTGCTACCTCTCTTCCTAGGGCGCGGAGTGTGGTCAACCGGTCCAATAGATTTAGTTTCGATACTTCAAAGAATATCAAGACGTGAGATTCGGATGTTTGGGAGGATACTCATGCTCAATATGATACCTCCGACTGCCAAGCAACCAAGATGTCTGCTCTGCGAGAGGTTACGATCAATCCAACGAAAGTTGGGGGAGCGTTTCAGGGCGTTTCGGGGGGTCGGGTAGGGTCCCCTAGAATGCTGTGAGTCAGCGTCAAAGAAACCCTCGAGCCAAGGAGCGGAGTTCACAAGGATGCTCCTTTTGCTGAGCTTCTCCTTAGCTCCAAAAAACAGCCGTTCTGTGACTGGCAGACCGGCCAAGGGTTTTTTCTCGGACAGCGCAAAAATTCCCACTGGCAGAAAGGGAAAGAAGTCTTTGTTAACACTCTCAAAATGGATGGCACATGCTACAATTCTAGCTGTACCCTCCCCGTTCTCAAAAGGGAGGCGAACCCTGAAAAATGGGTGGTTCTAAAGAGAACGCTGGCTGAAGAGAATGGGAAATCAAACCTTAGAAACAATGAATATCTTAGCTTGACTCCACGTTGGGTTTCTGTGCAGGCGTTCGGCATGGCACGCTCCAGTTCGCAGCCTCGCAGAGCCCACCCACTGGCATCAACACCACCGGGTCAGCATTGCGGCAAACTCCAACGGCTGCCGCGTTTCATCTACAAACGGCCTAATCCCAGTCAACATCCAAAGCAATCATCACGGAAATGGCCAAACCAACAAAAAACAAAACCAACCAAGACCAACCAAGACCAACCAAACAAACAACCAAACAGACAATCTAACTAACTAACTGACTGACTGACTGACTGACTGACTGACTGACTGACTGACTGACTGACTGACTGACTGACTGACTGACTGACTGACTGACAAGCAAACAAAACCAACCAACCAACTACACAAACAGACAAGCAACTAAACAAGCAAGCAATGTGCGTGGCATGAGTGACCTCATATCGCGGATCGCTGGAGCCGCGGACTGTCAACCAACGAGTCTGCAAAAATGAATGTTCGGACCAGGGAAAGGTGCGCATGTGTCCTTGGTATCCGCATCAGTAATCCCTGCCCCGCCCCCCCGCCCCCCCGCAGAAGGGGCTAGTTTGAAGGCAAAGGGCAAACCGAAGCAATTTTGGAGGGGTCACCCAAAAACAAACACACCCATATCATGGCCCATAGATACGAAGAGAGCGTTTCTTAGCAGGTAGAAATGCGCGCAAAAATAATATGGGTAGAAAACAAGCAACAAAAGCGGAAACAAGTTGCCGGCAAACCAATTATCACCTATGGAATTCCGATCTTAGCTTTCCAACAGACTAAATCCCTTCAAACCTGGCTCTGTGTGTGTGTGTGTGTTTAACCTGATGGCCATGATTTTGGGGGTGCTTGCAGTTTATTGTTTGCTGGGCGAGGCGGGGGGGGAAAAAAAGAAAAAGAAAAAAAAAAGAGAAGAAAAAAAACATCCGCTCCGATGGGGATTTGTGTTGCGGCGGAGAAAAAAAGAAAAAAACACCCGCTCACCCCGATGTGTGTGGTGGTTTTTCTCGGCGCCAGGGGTCGATGTCCTTCTCCAGCTGGGAGAGCTCGGCCTCGTGCTTCTCCTTGCGCTTCAGCTTGCCCATGGTGTCCTTGGCCCGAGCGGCGGGCGTTTTGGGGCGCGCGGCTCGGACCGGGGGGGGGGGGGGTTGGGGGGGGGAAAACGCCAAGTGGGCTGAGTCCAAGCACCCAAGCACTAAACCCAGCCCACCCCAAAAAAAGAGAGAAACAAACAAACAAAAAAAAGAAACACACTCGGGTTGACTCATCCCCAGTAGGGCATGTGAGCCGCCAGGATTGTAAGCGTCCACAATGCACATTGTGAGCGGAAGAAACTCAGCTGCGGTCTGCTAGTGGCAGCTTCTAGAGATGAGGATCGCAGGTGACACGTGAGGTTGTGAGAATTTAAGCTCTAGCAGATGATTTTCCTGGATTCGTCAAAATGCATGCCATACAAAGCAAAGCTCCCTAGAAAGGCTCTCGCACAAAAACAAGTCTGCGTGCCAGTGGTTTGCACCCGAACTTGAGCCGCCGGCAAGGTTTGTCACGTGCGTGCCGGCCTGGAAGGCTGTATTCACCTGCCAATGCAGCTCCTAAACCGGGCCTTGGATGCTTCCGAGTCATCTTAGGGGAAGCTTCCATTTCCGGTTCCTTCCAGCCGCTCTCAAGCGAAAGAACGAGGTTTTCAGAAGTTGCTGAAATGAGCCATCTTTGCGCCCTTTTTCCAGGGATCCTTCGTTTCAGGAAACCATCCAAAGGTCAGGGGAAACAGTGATCGGTTTTTGGAAAAGAATGCTTGAAAAGAATGGTTGGAATCAACCCCTAGAATCCTAAAGTGATTCGCGGAATGCCTTCGCCTTCGCCCTCCTGTCAACCGTCGGACTGTCGGGTCTTGGCTTCTCAGTTTGGCCCATCCGGAGGTGCCCTGCCTGCTCCCATTTGGCTTTGAGGCCCTCGAGCAAGTCCTGTCTCTCGTCCTCTGCCAGTGGTCGGACTCGCTCGGCCTCACGGGACACGGAAAGCACCGCCGGCATTCTGACCCTTGATACTGCCAGCTACTCTCACAGAATCCTGGGCTGTCCGTTTTCAGATCTGCTACAAGTTTAGCTTTTTGCGGGTCAAATGGAAACCCAACCACTAAACCCTAGAAACCTAAGGCACCGGACAGCTGGGAGCCCCCAAAAATTCGGCCATTGAAACATCTTGTCCTCACCCCCTCGACCTGGCCAGCGCCAGCCTCTGCTTGAGCTTGCTGTTCTTGCAGCGCCCTGACAGTTCAAGCACCCAAGCACAGCAGCCTAAGCGAAATCCTGCAAAAAGCTTCAGTCCTGATGTAGTTGTACTCGGCATCAATGTCCTCGCAATTTGAAAAACGGTTGATTCTAGTGTTCAGAGTTCCTCGGATGTCTTTGTGTGTAGATCGGATGACCCGTGAGTCGGCATGCTGTCAAGGGCGAATCATTCAGTCCTGCTTGATGTGCTGCAAATATTTGGGAGTTTTGCCATAGTCCTCCTTCTTCAGGTAGTCCTCAAGTGCACGAGCTGAAAGCACAGGTCGCCCAGGAAACCCAGCTCAAAGGCTGAGGAATAACCCCTTCGTTCTCCCAACTGTGGCACAAATGAAAAAGGGGGCTCCAATCACACACGCTGTACCGCCCCTTGCCTTACCCCCACTGCCTCCTAAGACAGTGGTCTGCTCTTCTTTCTGGAGGGCAAACCCTTTTTTTGGGTGGGTCCAAATCCTCAAGATCTCCCACCCGTCAGGCCAAGCCCCAGAAAAAGGTCAGAGTTGTCCCCCCGTTTCCCCCCCCCCCCCGCCAAAAAAAAAACAAAACGCCAAAACCACGGGGGGCGCTCCAACCCCGAAAGCGGTCCAACCGCTCCAAACCCCGCCGCCCGCTCCGCCCGCTCCTTGGTGGTCTCCGGCACCTTCTTGGGCGCGGCCAGGATCACCTCCACGGCGTTGGCCACCTGATGAGAACAGATGCGGTCCTTTGGCTGCTCAACCACATTCTAGTGCTACCTTTGGTTCCAAAAACGCCAAGTTGGTTTCTCTTTAAAGCACATTTCAAAAATCTAGGGGATCCCTGCTCAACAACATTCTAGTGGACATGGATGGGAAGCGAGCAGTCCCCAAGCTTCTTTGGTACAGGAAAACCAAGGGGTAAACCACAAAAAACACCTTTTTGTCTAGTGCTACCTTCCCCATTCTAAACCCAGGGATCCGAATCTTTCTAGAAAACCTCCGGAAACCCAGGGAAACGGATCCGGTGTTTGAAAAGAACGATGGTTGGAAAGAATGGGGAATCAACCGTTAGAAACATGTACCCTCTACTCCAAGAACCCGGTGATTTGCGAGAACCTTTAAAATAAAAAGTTCTTGATGTAGAGGGTACCCCATTTTGGCCAGGTAAGGTGGAAAGGACCTCAACAAAAAAGACCTCTCTTGGGTTCGATTCGACCGTTTTTAGGCTTGGTGAGAAATGGGTTGGGTTCCGTTCACCGGTTTGGAGTCTGTGGTCATTTGGGAATGGCTCGTGTTCTTTTCAACGTTTGGACCCCCAAAAATATGTGGGAATGTGGTGTTGTTTGAACATTTGGACCCTCCCCGCCAAATTAAACAACAACACAAAAGAAACATGTTGTGGTTGTCCGTTTGGGTGTCCTTTAAAACCAACAAAAAAGAGATACCAACTCCAAAACAAGATACGCCCAAGCATTGCCTGATATTGTCCCTAAGTCGCTTAAATCCCCATGTCCGTTCCTTTGTTCAACGCAGTTGACAAGGCCTATGGGTTGACAACAACAAAAAAGCCCGTCGAACGAGGATTGGGACTAGATGTACAGGACATGGCAGGCAGTTGTTGGCGTGCCAGAGGACCTGCTGATCAGTGGATATACAGGCTTCAAGTAACTTGGGAATGGGTTGAGTGCACTGCTGAAGACGGGAAGAGTTTGATCCAAGACACGAACGCTCGATCCAACAGTCATGAAAAAAGCATAGTGCTGCAGATATTGGTTCAAGCAGGTGAACACCTCCCAAGCAGTGGTCGACATGTGGCTGTGGGTCAAGAATAGGTACCCAAAATGGAACCCTGGTAAATGGAACCAAAGACTAAAACCAGGACCTGGTGGCCCAATCTTGACCCACACCCATGGTTCAGTCTCCGAGCCATCCGAGGCACGATAAAGTTCTTGCTGGTCACCAGGTTCATGACTGGCTTCTCCGTCGCTTGCGGCGGCCCGTGCCGCGTCTGAGGCTTCCTAGTCAAAGAAAGGAGGGCTCACTGCCAGCGGCAACTTGAAATGAAGTGCAAGCAATCCGGGACCCGCCACAAGCGCGAGGTTTCTTTGCAGAGCCGGTGTGATCTTCGGATATGACAAGTGCGGTGGACCGCCAGCATAGCACGATCTGAACAGCAAGGATGCTGGGTGCACCATGTATGGCACTTCAAACGGATTTGGCTGTGGGTCAAACATAGGTACTCGAAATGGCTTGCCCTGGTACATGGAAAGGACCAAAACCTGCGGTCCAATTCCTGCTGGTTTAATTTTGACCCATACCTATTTGTTGCAAGATACTTCAACAGGAAGCCAAGAAGTGCCATGGAAGCGTCCCTTTTCGTTAGGTCTCCGATCCGATGCTCTGCGTCCATTCGGCGTGACTCGTTTTGGACAGCCCCGCCCTTCATCAGCCCTGTTTGACCAAGTCCTTTGAGGGCCACAGTATTGACTTGCCAAGGGCCAAATCAAACGCTTGAGCCCAAAGCAACACAGGGGCCAAATGTATCTTATCATCCCGGACATAGCTTTGCGTTGTCTTTCTGACTACTTGGCTTCATAGATCTTCACCCAAACTCAACTGGGCGTCTCCTTTTGGGTGTCCCCCCCCAAAAACAACATGATCTGTTCCCCTGTGGCCTTTTCCTTTTAAACCAACCCTAACAAGGGTAGGATCCAAAAAAGACACGCCCCATGTGCTCTCCTCTGCTCAGCTCATGTCTAGCCAAGGGACAGCTGCTTCGGCACCAGGGCTTCCGGGTGCTCCTTCTTCATCTCTTTGAGAGTTAGCACCTGAGAGTTAGCGCGGCTGTTTGAAGGGACCCCACGAAAATGGCGGCTTTCCTGTTTAGTCTCTCTTTACCACCACCGAAAAAGGCGTTCTCTCCAGAAAAGACCAAGCCAATCCCTGGCCTCTTTCAATAGTGGCAAAGTGGTGGATTCCCTTTCAAAAGTGCCCCACTTCTGCAGGTAAGAAGGGAAATTGCGGGACCTGAAAGGCGAACGGGACACCAGGAACTTTGGGATTGGTGAGTTGTCAGAGCCCCGCAGAACAAGAAACAACAGCACGAGAAACAAAAAACACACACACACACCCACCCACGCACGCACGCACGCACGCACGCACGCACGCACGCACGCACACACACACACACACACCCACCCACCCACCCACCCACGCACGCACGCACGCACGCACGCACGCACGCACGCACGCACGCATGCACGCACGCACGCACGCACGCACGCACGCACGCACGCACGCACGCACGCACGCACGCACGCACGCACGCACGCACGCACGCACGCACGCACGCACACACCCACACACACACACACACACACACACACACACACACACACCCAACACGGCCGGCGGGGATTCCTGCCTTGCCACCACTTCGCTCCTGCTTCTTCAAGTAGAGGCCAGGATCATCACCTCAAGGCACAAACCCAAGTGATGCAGTTGGGGGCCTTGTCAAAAGTTATGGCCGGTTCCTCGTTGGGCTCAAGTGCCGCGTCGTGCCGCCTTTGAAAGGGGCTACAGTACCAACAAAGGTCCCGAATGTTGACACCCCATTTATTCTGTCAGGAATTGCGCCAGCTACGGCAGTTGATTGCATGGTTCAATGCTCCGGAACACCCACCTCGTTCTCCAACCCTGCACCCGTGTTGACTCATTGAGCTCGTTGTCCGACGCACGCACGCACTTGCGATCCAAAAAAACCACTGTGGTCTGCTTTCAAAAGCAGTCGCTTGCATATTGCTAGATTGCCTTGGCAGTGTGGATGATTTTCAGTTCTTCTAAAAGAAATAGATTGACTCTGAAAGGCAACCCACCAATGCAAAACACAGGACATGGCTACGTGCTCATCAAGTTACAAAAGTGTCCCACGTGTCTGCCTCGCGTCTACCGGCAACCTAACAATCGAGGCACTCCAAAACCATCCAGGTTGGTGTCAGCAGTGAGAGCATGATACTTTCCCAGGCCGAAAAATGGTAGACTCCTAACTCCTAAGCTATCCCAACTATCAGCCCAAGTTCGCAGGTCTTGAAAACCACAACGCAAGAAGCAAACTCTAAACATGCATGGGGGTCTGTCTTTTTTTGAAGGCTCGGTACCCACTTCCTTTCAAGAATACTACTTGTTTGGCGGGAAACCTACATTAAAAAAAAAAAAAAAAACAAAAAAAAAAAAAACAAGTTGGTCGGTTCAACCCAAAAAAAGCGACGAACCCATCCACCCGACACGTCAGAGTGGCAGTACGCTCCCTTCGGCTTACCGAAGGTGGAGTGTGACTTGTCACCGCCAGGCCTCAGTGAAACACACGCACATGGGTCTGTCCTTTTTTTGGGTGGACCCCCCAAAACGGATTTCGATGTTCGGCGCTCCCTTCAAAACCACCACAAAAGGGGTAAATGGGTCTGTCCTTTTCTTAGGAGTTGGACCCCCCTAAACGGAGTTCGGTTTTCGGCGCTCCTGAAGTGTCACTTCAAAACCTCCCAAAAAAGGGGTGCCCTCCAAAGCACACACGCGCAAGCCTCTCGACCTAAGTCTGGCCTCTATCACCTCGGAGCATCAACATGCTCATGGTGCATTGTCCCATCATTGGATGATCTTAGAGCAGTTGGAACACGCACCAAAGATTCCGATCTCTGCTCCACAAAGCCAGTGTGGAGCTGTTTTGCACTTGGCAGGAGCAGGGTCCACGCATGGACATCCACATGCTTCCGAAGCAATAGCTGGGTGGGTCTCTTTTTAGTACCCCCCAAAAAGATGGTCTTCCTTTTGTTTCCCTTTAACAGCTACAACAACCAAAAAGGGAGCACCGAGCCTCAAACAAACAGGCGGCACCCATTGGCCATGACTCCGCCCCGTCCACCCGCTTGCCACGGGGCTGATCCAAAGAGCCCCCGATGTTGGCGACCTGAAGCGACCGTTGGGATCGTTGATGCTTGATCAATATTCCCTTCGGCCCCCAGTTTGGACCATGGGTAACTTTTCCCATTTTGTGGGACATATCGTCTTTTTCGTGGTTTCCCCCAATGGTCATCCCCTGTAAAGGATCTTTTGATCAAACCCCACTTGGGTGCCTCGTCCTTTTCTTGGGGTTGGTACCCGTTTAACTTGTCGACCTAAAGGGGAACCAAAAGGAAAACCGAAGCCAGTTTAAGGCGGACCTCTACAAATAGACACACCCATTTGCATATCAATGACCATATGCGTCATCTGTTTTGAAAACCCCCCTTGTTGGTTTTTAATGGAAACCAGAAGGAAAACTACTCATTCTGTGGGGTCCCTAAAAATGAGTGACGACCCCATATATTTTGAGTTTGTGTCAAGAGTTGCTGACATCTCCGCTGGAAGTTCTCAACATGCAGCCAGATGGCGCTTCTCTTGAACCATGAGCCCGTGTTTCAGCTATTCCCTCGTGTCCGGGGTTGCGGCAAGATTGCAGGGTGTCCGCTCACAATCCAATCAGAACTGGGGTGCGCATGAACGCGAGTCAACAAACTCCGTGTGCAACAATCATTGTGGACTTCCACTTCCAGGGCAATTGAGGAACTTCCCTATTGCAACTGGGGTCATTTTTGTTGACGGTTTCGGGGGGTTATCAAAGTCAGAAAATGGGGGGTGTTTCCCTTCCCACCACTTAGGGGGCGACTTTGATCCTGATAAAATAATGAGGCCAGTGCAAGTGTTCGAGGCACGGTCAACCAGGAGAGCGGCGTGTGCCAGCGGCTCATGAAGAATCCCAGATGTTCAATCTGCACTTGTGCCTTCCAACATGTGGCTGCGGTTGTCAAAGATCGGGTAACCCCAAAATGGCTTGCCCTGGTAAATGGAAGCATGGACCAAAACCTGTGATCCTTAATTTTGACCGGCCCATACCCACCTTCTGCTCCACTCTCCGCCCTTCCCCCCCCCCTCGCCAGGCTGCGGCGCAGGTCGTGCCCTGAGGAGGGAAGGTGGAAGCAGAGGGCGGCAAGGCATGCGAATGCCTCGGAGCAAAAACCCATCTGCTCGCGTCTTGGTTTTGATGGCTCCTGCTTTTTGGATTTTTGGTGGAGCTAAAGAGAAAACAAAAGGAGAACCTTTTGCCATTTGGAGGGATCTACAAAGACACACCCATCTATACCAACTTTCACCCACTCCAAGCTTCTAGATGATGCAATCAGCTCCCAGCTGCCTTTCGCTTGGTCTGGTCCATCCGCAGCCTGCAAGGCGTAGGCCAATGATAGGCCAAGGTGCTTGGACTTGTACATGGGCGGTCGCTCCTGAGGCGAGGTGTGACAAGCCGCGCTCACCAGACATCGGTCCGTGTCGTTTCCAAAAATCCCAGGCCCGGAGGTGGTTTCTGGAACAATCAGAGCTGCAACTCATCATCAGCATGGAACCCGCAAAGATGTGTTACTCTGTTTGGGGGACCGCACCCTTTTGGGTTCACGTTTAATTTGTAATTAGGGGAGTGACCTCTGGCAATGGGGGCCGTTTGCATCTGAGCCCATTGATCTCCTGCACCATGGGCTTGGGCGGGATGATGTTGTAGATGGACTCCTGGTGCATCCTTGGATCGTACACAAGTCGGGAAAAAGACGGAGAAAGGGGTTGCACCGGTGGCAACTTTTTAGGCTTGAGCCAAGCATCATCATCATGCTACAGGTCAGAGCTATGCTCACTCTCGCATCCAGAGAGGCAAATGGGCCACTTGGGGCTGCGGTCGGGCGAGAGCTTGAAGCGAACTCAGGCGAGAGACGCAAAGCCCAAGTGAGGCCAATGGCCCAACCCGGAGTGCAATGTCACGGGTTATGTCACCAGCAAACACATGACACTAAACCTCTGGGAGACAACTTTTGGGCGTTCCTCGTGACATCTCCGTCTTGCTACATTCATGACGCGTCACTAGGGCACATGCACTTTGAAAGCTGACCTGAACAATAAGGAACCTGCCGTTTCGGGGTCCTAGACCAAGTTCCTCCAGAACGAACCCTCTTCGCGGGTTCCATGTTGGTGGACAGGCTAAAAGCCAGAACCAAGGAGGGTTTTCATCAAACGCCCAAAGTCCACGGGTCTTCGTAGGTTCCGCTGCCGCTGGTTCCAGCGGTTTCTCGTCGATCATTTGGAGGGGTCGTTTTAGAGGGCACCCTGTTGGATTCTCTTAGCACACCCCAAAAATCTAGGGGACTCTGCCCCATTCTAAACCCAGGGATCCTTCCTTCCAGAAAACCATGAGAACGGGGAAACAGCTGGTTTTCGAAAAGAACCATGGTTGAAAAGAATGGAAAATAATCTACTTATAACAAAAAAAACTCTTTAAAGCACACCCCAACAAGGGATCTGCCCGCAGCAAAAAAAAACGAGCCACCCGTCTCTTATCTTTTCGCCGGTCTCCCGTCCGACGAGCCCCCGCCTTCGAGTAGCCGCACCGCGTCCTAAGGGCCTGGAGCCAGTTGTCAAAGGCCACAGCCTCAAGCGGGGCTCTGCCTCATGTCCTTGGTTGACGTTGGAAGGGGAAGCTCCACCTTCCAACGTCAACCAAGAACATGAGGGAATTTCTAGGGAAGGTGGATTTCAACGTCAGAAAGTGGTTAAGTGGGGATTTCAACCTCTAAACCACAATAAGCAAAAATGTAAAATGTGTCCCAACAACAACCATGTGTTCACCAAAAACTGGTTGGGGTGTCCTCGTCGTTTTTGAGTTGGTAGCCCTTTTTGGCGTGGCTTCAAAGAGAAACCGAAGGAAAACCACCTTTATATATGTCTCCATATGTTTCTTCCTTCTTTTTTGTTCTTGTTTTGGGCTGGGGAGGTTCCCCCAGTTGTGAGACAAGCCCCAAAGAAGCTTTCCAGCTCAGCGCCGCGCCCACTCATCCTCGCTAATGAGCTTTCCATGATCCTCAGAACCTCGGGCCATGCGTCCCTCTCTCTCAAGCGGCGCAACCCAAAACGACCCAAAAGGTGTCCCAGGGCTCCCGAACTGGCCGTTTTCGGAGCCATTCCAGATGAGCCACAACCCAAACCCCGGCGCTGAAAAAAAAGTCCACCCAGAACCATGCTTCCAGAACCAAGAAGGCGGAGATCCGCACCCGTTTGTGCTGGGAGTCTCCCGTAACCCCCACTTCCCCGGTTTTTTTTCAGCACGCGGAGATCTCAGATCCGGCCGCCCGCTGGATAAGCTCTGAGCTTCTGACGGCCAGAAGCCCGCCGCATGTGAACCCACAGTAGGGGGAACACGCGGGTAGGGAACTCCCACCTGGCAACTCGCGAGTATATGAAGGGTTTAAGATGTTGGCTGTTCTATTGGAACTTTTGGAGTATCATCCAATATTCTTTATCCGCAGATAGATGGAGGTCGCCTCTGTGACGTTTGTGGCGTGCCTTGGGTGCTTAGAGAGAGATGGCTGTGGTGGTCAAAACTAGGGTAACCCCAAAACGGGTTGCCCTGGTAAGTGGAAACATGGACCAAAACCTTTCTGGTGGTCGAAGCTGACTGAAGGGCTCTTGCAAGACTCATTCCTCTTGGAGAAGTCCACGTCCATGATTGTTGGACAAAGGGTAGATCTTTTTTTTGGGGGGGGGACACATTTCCTTGAGTCAACACGGGGTCCGGCTTTGCCTACAAATTAGCCATCCCATGGAACATTGGAACAAAAGTGGCGTCCTGTTGGTCTTTTGCGAGTAACTCTTTGGACGACTTAATAATGGCTCGCTGAAAATGATCTGCTGCCTCATCTGAAGAATGGTGCATGCGCTAGGTCGTTGATGGCACGCTGATGGTGCAGGATGTCAGGCTTCAACATCGGCTATTGGTACTTGTTCTACATCGGCTTGATGGGAAAAACAAGCACCATGTAAATATCCACAAGCCCTGGCTGTCGTTCTGGACAAAACAACGTTTCCCGGGCCCCGGTGCCTGTCTTCTAGAAGCTGGAGTAGGGCCGGAAGTCTGCTAAGGTCACCCTCGAAGCGCTTGTACAGCCTCGGCCGAAGAGCTGCCAGAGCTGAGCAAAATACATGGCATAATTTGTTCGGTCAAAGCGCGTAGCAGTCGTTGGACCTGCCATGCATTTGTCAAGCGTTCTGTGCTTTCGAGCCAGTCTCATCAGTGCCCAAGTCGGGGTTGAGCATGACCCTCTGGCCCACGGAAGTATGAAAGGGACAATCCGGTCGAACCAGGGCTGTGGGGAATGACCACTTCTGTGATACAACAAAAAGGGCTTCCCAAAGACTAACCCCCCATATAAAGGGGGAGATTCCCTTGTATCACAGAAGTGGGGAAAACCCCCTTGATCCCACAACCCTGGGTCAAACAGTCCACCGTTCGGAAGGTCAGCCATGGCACGGGGGCAACTTGAAGGCCTCACGCTCCCCCGCAAGACTTACCACCGAAGGCTAAAATGCTTTGCAACCCTTTCGCCGCTGCGAATTCCCAAAACCATCTATTTCTCTGTCCCACTCAAGTACATCTCTGCCACGACACTCAGGCTACGAGCTCGCCCGCACTCACCGTGTTTGCTTGCGTGTAGGAAGTTTTGCATAGCCTGCCTTACATGGGCACGTGCAATCTTGAAGGCGCAGTGATGCAAAGTCCGGAGAAAATGTCCAAGCATTCTACTTTCAGTACTTGGGTGTGTGAGCAAGCATGTGGGTCTGGGTCAAAACTAAGTCCAAGTGTCCATTTGCCAGGGTTCCATTTTGGGTGCCTATTTTGGACCCACAGCCATGTGGCACCGCGCACGGCGTTCAGAGGACAACTCGGACATTGGAGAGACGAAAGGCGCTGGCTGCTCCATGCCGATGGCTCCATGGCAAGTTCCTCCGCTCCGTCTGCCCGGTTCGCTCCATCCGGAGCAGGTTCTCATCTGGGTCCGCTTGTAGAAGCCCAACCAGAGCAACAAGGAGGCCGAAACGAAGCGGCAAGAACGTCTTGCAATGGAATTTGCTTCCTCTCTCGGTCCCTCTGCCGCTGCCTGGACTGAAAGCGGAGCTAAGTGAGCCAAAGATACTTTGGAACTCCTGCTCTTGCAACCAGTATGAAGCCCTGACGTTCAAGGAACGGCAACTTTGGGGTGGGCTTAGTCGAGGTTGAAACCAGTGCAAAACAACAGGCCTGGTACTTCACACCCTTGCTTCCGAATGGGTGTGTTTTTTTCAGAGACCCCCCAAAATGGTGGTCGTCCTTTTGGTTTCCCTTTAAAGCCACCACCAAAAAAAAAGGGGCATCCTCAAAAAAAAGGGGGACAAATCCCTTTAAGAAACCACCACCAAAAAAGTGGCAGCCTCCAAAAAAAGAGGGGAGAAAAAAAAAACTCAAAACGAGCCACCCCTCTTGCGATCTCCACGTCGACTCTCTCGCCTCAGCCTCTGAGCCTCTGAGCCTCTGAGCCTCTGGCTGCCCCGCCACCGCCCGCGCGCTGGAGTCGGTGGCCAGCAGGACGTCCAGGCCTCAGGCCCCGGCCATCTAAGGCACGATGACTTGGGGAAAAGATTGGCTCCGTCAAGAAAAGCCCACGCCCATACCCTTGACCAACTCGGCTCCTTCGTGGTTCAGCCTCACATCTGGCCATGGGTCAAAAGCCAAAGCCCGTACCCCCGGTGAACATCCCAATCCAACCACTAAAAGAGGCTCTAACATGGGTGGTGCACCTACCAACCAAAATGGTACCATTGGTTTTGACCCACAGCCATATCCCGAGGTTTTTCAGTAGAGAGGATAGAATAAGGGTACCCGATTTTTTTCTGTAGTCTATTTTAGTAGGGTTCCAACCCTCCCCAAAAAAGACACGGTAAAAGGGCACTACTGGGAGACCTATTACCCCTGGTTCATACCGGTTGCTTTGCCTTTTTGGTTTCCAACCCACTTTACTTTCAGCTCTCCACATGGTTCTGGGTAGACCATGCTAATACAAGATTTTGATTCTGAGTCAAGTCGTACGGTGGATGGACAAAATCCATTTCGCACCGAAGAAGGCCTGGAATGTTGATTGCCCTGTACATACCAACCGGTTTCAAAGTGGTTCATACCGGTTCCTCTGCTTCGGTTTCCCCATCAGCTCTGAGTTCAGTGGCCCTCGGTGTCCAACCCACTTTAGGGGTCAAAAGCCCCTTTTGGGGGAGGGCAGCAGAACATCAGGCTTTTTGTTGGGTCCATTTGCCCAGGCAAATATGCAAAAGGGGTATGTAGAAGCACCCTTAGACATTTCTTTCGAGCAAACACCACGGGGCGGGTCGAGATGCTGGGGGCGAAGGTGGGGGTGGGGTTGAGATGCGGGCAAGAGAGGGTGAGCCGGGGGGGGAAGGGGCTAGGGGAGGGAGCAAGGGGGGAAATGTGGGTTTGGACATGCTGACGTCTTTGTTTGCACCGAACAGCTCGCTATGTCCAAGATACTTGAAAGAGTAATAACGACGGAGTTGTCTTGTGGGTTTGTCTTTTATTGCTTTTCTGATTTGTTTTTGTTCCTCATAATGCTTGATAAATTGCCTCTGCAACTTCTTGGTAGCTTTGAAATCCCAAATGCAGGCTCCCTCACGAAGAGAACGATTGGCAAAGTCCTGCCCTCATCAGAAAACAAAACATTAACTTGCTAGGGACATGACTTACTCCCATACAAATTAACATGGAACCAAAAGGGAAACGCAATTTCCTCACAAATGGTGGTTTTGTGGGTTCGGAGAGTATTCGTGGCGGAATGTGAAAGACCTAAATCCAATGAGAAGCTGTGCCAACAGTATACAATGATGGAGGCCAAACATACAAACAAGGTTTGACACAAATACCAGCCTGCTAAGCTTCAGCACGTTCCACCGGAGCAGTTGGAATACTCTTTTTGGGGCTCAAAATGTTTGGGTTGGTTTGAAGGGCACCGAAGCCATTTTGGGTCTCCCCTGAAAAGACACACCCAGTTAAGCTACCTTTCATGTTATGGAGACGCGTGTCCTGTTTCAGAATTCCGCCAAACCCTTCACTTTCACAGTCTAGAAGTCTGGACCCCGCAGCAGCAGTTCGATCCCTCGGCACCCAGAAACAAAGAAAAGCAGAAATAAAGAAACGTACAAACATCCAAGAACCCTGAAAACCCTTCAATCTAAGGTCCTGATTGCATACCTCAAATTGGCATGTTCTAAAATCGTGGCTCTAGAGGGACTACACAAGGGTTGTGCTCATTCATACACTGTCACGTCCTTCATCTCGCTTACCTTTGGATTCGTGAAGAGAACAGTCGCGAGGAGAGGACAAAAAAGGGAAAGTGAGTGAAATATGTTCATCATCATGCTGATTCCATCATTTGTAAGCCAACCGTCCTTTCCATGTCCAGCTTCTCATAATCAAATGTGCATCTCTGATGGATTGTTTGACTGGAAATAGAAGAATATTGTAGGAGCTGGAAGTCTTGGAAAAAGGTTGGCCAAAAGAAGGAAATGAAAGTAGCAGGTGGAAGGAGGTAGAAAGGAGGAACATGATATGATAGTGAAGTCTAGGATAAATAGATTCTATCATTCCATCTGCATGTTTAATCTCGGCGTCCTTCTCAATCTCCACTACCTAGCTTAAAACCGTTTAACAGCTTGGAGAAGCTCAGAAATGAATACAATGAAAGGATAGTGACAGCAAACCGACAAGAATTAATGCAACATACACGTAAAACAATGTGTATATATATATATACGACCATGCTAGCTCATTTACAATCATGTCCTTGTTCTCGGAACATACCATGTGCATTGAATAGTGCTTGTTATTTGGGGTTCTAAACATCAAGCATTAGTTCAGCATATTGTTGAATTGTCTTTCAATTAGAGAACCATTCAATTTAACGGTGCATCATTGTATCTTTCTTGTTAGTCTTGAAAGAGCTATAATATATATATATATATATATTATATATATATATGCAAATTTGTTTGCTCATTATTTTTTACCGTTTGTTTTTTGCCCGGATGTTTTCCAGAGATTTGATTTCCTCTCCGACAGAATTCTTCTACAATAGAGGACCCGAACAACAGTCACAGGATCCTGAAATAGGAAAACACTTTCTACAATAGAGACCCCTATCATTAAAGGAGGTGTGCCATTGTCCAAGATGGAATGGAGATCATCATTTTTAACTTCTGAAATCTCCCATAAATTCAGTTGTCCATTCAGGAACACAACCAAAAACTGCTGTTCCAATTAAGAAGCCTGGTATTTGGTTTATCAAAGCATATGAAGCAAACAAAGGGGGGTTGCCCACAAGACGCCCTGATCCTCTTTAACGTGACTGTTTTGTTGCGCACGTTAGTGTCCAGCTTTTTTGGAGGCTACTGAAATTCCCAAATTAATGCCTTGGCCTTGAAAAGGGGGATTCACGTAACCAAGCTCTTCCCACACCCAAACTTGCCCGCAAGAGGCAATGCTCCTCCTTAATGTGACTGTTTTGGGGTCCTCTTTAGTGTCCAACTTGTTTGGTGGTTTCTGAAATTGAGTGGCAATACTGTACTGGGAATCTGAGTTGGCCTCAATTTAGTCTTGGCAATCAAGTAAGTACTCGGAATCGGAGACAATGCTAAATGTGGCCTTAGCAATACCAAACCAGTACAGTTAGTCTTGGCAAGACTCAAATTAGGCCTTGCAATAAAGGAAGTACTGGGAATCTGAGAGTTAGTCTTGGCAATACTAAATTTAGTCTTGGCAATGACAAAGTAAGTGGGTCACATTAAAGAGGGTCCAACATTAGAATCCAACATTGAAGAGGCTTTTTGTCTTTCATGCCCCATTTCAAGTTCTTCTGTGCGGTCTCCTTCTCCATCAATATTTAGGGGGTTCTCCCAGAAAGCACATCCTCATGGCTTTTAAGTATGTGCATTGCCGGAAAGGCAGACCGTTTCTTTTTTCCATGGGGACCGTGCGGTTTCCGGCGCTGCGACCCCGCAGCGAAACCGGCGGACGCGAAGTCCGAGGCTCCCGCGCTGGCGGAACTCCCCGGCGCGGCCCCGGCGCTCACGGCGAGGCCTGGCCAGTCGGGCCATGCGGACGTCGCGACAGGCCTCCCGGATCCAACGGGATCCACCCCGTCCATGGGACCTGACGGTTTTGGGGGGTCCTGGAAGACCACGTTTTTTGGCTTGATGGATTTGTGTGGTGGGTTCCATGTGGACTGGGCTCCCTATATTTCCCCTCAAAACATCACCCCTGCCAAGGGCCCAGACGTGCCACACATCGTCACATCGCGCGCTACTGCGGAAATCCAGCACTGCAAGGCTGTGACTCTGTGATGCTGTGAGCAAGCATGTCAAATCGCCAGCAGGTTGCAGAACTGGCCATGAATATTCTTGCTGAATCTATCATCCCATGCTTTCGAAATGGTGCAGGATTTCGTCCATCCACCGTAGGGAAACACAAAGGCCGCACGCCTTTCCAGCATCTCTTTCGATGATCTCCCTGTCGCCTCTTTAGATGATCTCCCTGGCCGGGATCGAGCCTTCTCATAAGGAAACGTCCCCACGAGGTATGGGTCGCTCCCCTTTTTTTCTGGGATTTGGACCCCCTGTGCCGACTCCAAAAAAAACGCGCACACACACACGCACAAGCACACACCACATTTCAAGGCAAGGCTGGAACCGAAGGTGTCCGTCACAAGTACCAACCCATGTGTGTCTTAAGATGAATGGGTTTGCTTTAGAGCTTCCTCGGCTCATTCCCAAACCGCCTCGCCCATCGTTCACCTCGGTGAGCGCTCGAATAAAAACTCATGCTGGAACAGCATGCGCCCAATACTCACATGGCAAGTGGATCGTGCTTGCATGGAAGAAATTGTTTGGACACATGCGGGGTGAGACGTATGTCTTCCATACCGATTGGATTCCCTCCGGAAGCAGCTCTATGTTCGGCAAGCGAGCACTCGATCGTCTGCAGGTGAGCCCACCAAGATGTTAACAAATGATGTTAGCAAATGAGCAGCCACGCCATATTTGCCCCATGATGTTGAGCAAACAAAGGAAAATGAGTGCATCCAGCTGGAAACCCACTTTGAAAAAGACCGACCTGCTCTTTTGCAAAAAGGCCTTCGCCATTCACAATGCTGCCAGCTTCAACTTGGCTCCCAGCCCCAGTGGGGCTCTTGGTTTTGGTGAAGCTGTTCCTGACGAGCGGATAGGCTCTTGCTTGGCGATTGATGCAATTTGGCTTCAGCAACGGGGTTATGTTTGTCAGGCGGTCTCTCGCAGTTTTCCCCATCATGCGCACCAGCCAGCGGGAACGTCAGACCTTGCCAATCGAACTGTTTGTTTCTCCGCATGACCTGCCAGAATGACATCAACACATGTCCGGAATCAGGAACACTTTTAGACCCTTTTGGCATCAACCGTTTCGCGCGTTTACAAAAAAGTGGGGCAGTCACGATTGACGGGTCCATCTTCTTTGGACTTTTGCGGTGCTTCTTTCCACGAGGCTTCCTCAGCCCGCGCGTTTCTGGCGCACCCGCCTGCCTGCGACTTGCTCCGCGCGTTTCGGGGCGCGCCACCAATCGACCGCGGTCCGGATTGGGAAGAGGCACGTAAGTGCTCAGGCTTGCTGTTTCAAAGGCTTCGCCAGGAGTGGCTGAGAAACATGGAATGGATGTCCCTTTCAGCGACCTGTTTTTGCGGAAACACCCCAGCGTGCTTGTTGTTCTGCCATTCGGTGCGCAAATCCGAGCGCTAGGAGCTTGCCAAAGGAGCCTTCGGACTACGCTATCTACTTTGGATCCAAGATTCCCCTGCAGCTTTTGGTGTCGCACGCAACTTCGCATGTTGAAGCCTGCTGCACGGCATGCCTGCACCAAAGCGAGAAGCAAATACTGCCCAGCAGACGCCAACAGCTTTATGAAACAAACCCCTGGTTGATTAGTAGGGGGGCGTCCCCTTTTGGTGGGCATTCATCACTTTCGGAGGGAACACCCCCCCAATAATGGGACGGGTTTATTAATCCTGGGTCAACATTAGCAAGTGAGCTCCCCCCGCACCTGCCTCAGTTCTTCAGCGGGCTGCGCCAGTCAAATGGGTCGCACGGCTGGCCGTTTGTTCAAGGCTGCGCGCTCAGCTTCCAAGTTGGTGTTGCGCGGCGCTGGCTGCTTCCGAAAACGCGGCATGTCCCAAAACAAGGAAGATACGCAGGTGTTCACCATCATACGTTGCGCAGAGACGTAGCGACGGGATCTTGGCAAAATCAGCCCCGCACCTTGAGTTGTTGTGCCGCCTAGCCTTGCTGCACAGCGCAGCGTTGCTTTGGGCTTTGCGCAGCGCATCTTTCATTGGCTTAGCATTCCGCAATGTTGCTGCTATGCTCTGCGGTCAAAGCGGTAGCTGACTCTTGTAATTCTAAGAAAAGGCAAGCAAAGGAGCCAGCATTGCAACCCTTGTTTCGGCAACTGATTGCTTGTCATTTCGGGGTTTGCTTGCGGAGGGTGTTTCAGAAGCAGAGCCCGATGATTTCGTAAGGGTTTGCTTGGCTGGGGTTGCCGTGTTTTGGAACGATCGGCGTGGGCGCCGATGTCTGTCTACGAAGCCGTAGATGCTTGGGTTTTGGGTTTTGCATCGGGATGGCCAGAGTCGAGCTACGGCCCAACATCCATATGCTTGAAGTCAGGAATGCAAAAAAACGCTCATGACGGGAGTTGGTAAATCTCAGATATGTTTGTTTATCGGGAGCTATGGACGGGTTTTCTGTTCGGCGATGATTGGCACCACATGATGAGTGTCATAAATAGTTCAACTCCGAGGGCGGCATGGTTCGAGGGTTGGGTTCCGGGTGCTCTGACATGGGAAAGGAGAAGAGCCTCAGTTCTGGACTGGACCCTTTTGAATATTTGTCGCTCGCTGCCTGCAAAACTGAGGGTCTCTTGGGGATGCATGCTTCTCCACTTCATCTTTTACACTGGGCCTTCGTGACAATCCGAGGCTGGCACACGGAACCAACAGATGACATGAGTCTCATTGCACAGATGCAACACCAGAGGTCCCCTCAACAAAACCTCTGCGACGCATGGCGTCCTCTGCGTCGATGAAGCCTTTCGTGCAGCGCAATCACGTGATGGCAAGCCCTAATTGGTGGTTTGGAATGACCCCTGATTCTTGTAGAGGGCAAATGGGGTTAACCCCTCAACCAAACCAGCGATTGGCGATGCTTGTGATGCAGGGGGAGCCCGTGTCGCTCAAACCTCGAGTGGGACGAGCGAGCAAACTCCAATCCACTTCGGAGCGAGCGAGACTGCAAGCGACCCGAGGCAGCCGCGGTGGTTGCGGAAGTGAGACCAACGGGACCTGGGAGCCGAACTCAGCCAGCAATACCGGCCACTCTCAAAAGCATAGGTGTCGTTCAGGGGAATAGATGGATTTCCCTGGTAGATGAAATTCACTAGGTAAACCAGGAATCGCCATCTATTTTTCGAGCAAAACAACCAAAAAGGACACCTATGCTCAAAAGCAGATCTTGTGGCTTTGGCTGCGCGTAGCTTCATGTGTGTTACGGCGTCACACCCTCAGGGACGCACATCCTGAAATCTCATCCAAGAGCAGGCTGGACGCCTCGGTCAGCGCCTGGCGATGGCAGTTGGCTAATAAAACTCGACCAGATGTCATGC